CCGGCAGCACTCGGCTTCAACCTGAGTCAGCTCCTTCTCTTGGGGGGGAGAGGGTTGGCCACCCTGGAGCATCTGAGGCTGAATCTCAGCTTTGCTGGTGCCGTACCGACCAACGCATCCACGCTGGTACGGCGTTCCTAGCACGGGCAAGCGCTGAGCTGAGCTAAGGACTTGCTCAAAGAGCCTGTTGTACAGCTCTAATTACACTACTTTGTTGAAAGAAGGATACAGAGGTACACATACCTCCCTGTGTGTGATTCACAGCTTCAGCGAGCCCTGGGTAACTTCCTTGTTTCAACAAACTCGTTATCTACTCCATGGCCATATATTACACTGGTGAAGACGACCCAAGTCTAGACAAGTCTGAAACTCCTCATCTTTCTTGACAGTGAAAGCCTGCCCTTCAGCATCACGGCAGCACGCACGTTACTGCTCGGTGTTCTCCCCCTCCCACCTTCCCTTACCTTTTCTTCATTGCTCAGAATCCCTTTGTACGTTCTCCATTTCGAGTTGCTGTTTTTGTAGTTCATTGTAAAGGTCTTTACGTAAAAGTTGAAATTCAGCGTTGTGGATCCAGAACCGGTGGTCTTAATTCCTTTTAACAAAATACAACGTACATTTTCATTTGTTAGGTGTCTGTTTTCAAGGAACATTTTCAAATGCAAACACAGCAGCCGAAACAGTTCGGAGAACTTTGCTTTCAAAGTCTTAATTTATTTTTCAAATTATGTTGGAATTGGCTTTAAAAGTTGGGTAAAGAACAGACATCGGTTTTAAATTGTGCATTTAGAGCAATGGAATTTTTAGCAGAGCCCAAATTAATGAATCCAAAAATAGTAATGGCTTTTTGATATTACAGTCCATATCAGCAGCAACTGTAATTTACATTCTTACAACTAAACTAGGAGTTGGAAACAGGAGTTTCTTCCCCCTGGGATGTTGTTTCAAAGGCTGTGACTTTAATGTTTCTTACTGATTCCAGAACTGCACCATTAACAGACCCTAAGCAATCATTTATCATCCATCCAGACTCCATTGGTCCCTGTGTAAGTATTTTGTTCGGAGCCCAACACCATGTTCCCAGATCAGGCATGCATGACAGTTGAGTTCAATCCTATATCCCTATAGGAAGACCGGTCTTGTAAATAGCCATGATCTTTTAAATAGGAAAATAATATTCCTCAACGCAGAACATTTCATTACATTTACTGAAAGAAACATTGCGTTAGTGCATTATTAGCTTTTCGGCTGCATGCAGTTTCTTCTCCAGCTGAAAGCCCAGCTTCTGGTCACCCGGCAGTGACATACCTGTTATTCTCTTCTTCTCTCCCAGGTCTATCTCCAGCCATTCCCGATTGCTGCTGTGGTTAGAGGCCCAAGCCAATCCTGGGACTTGAAGCCAAGCCTTGTCGGGAGACCACTGGAATAGTTGCCCAAATTCGTTGGTCTCCTCCCAGAAGGAAGATGCAGTAACCTGGCTCTTGGAGAGGAATCCCTCTTCCAGACTGAGCGATTTGTTGCAGCCTGGGAGTCCCCACACAGACAGGCAGAAGGAGTTATTTTGCGTTTTCACAGCATATTTTTATATTAGGCTAGCAACATATGAAGACCACCCACAACAGCAAAAAGTCAGATGTTGCTTAATCTAGTGCTAGCCTGATGCCATCCATGAGCTGTGGTGTTTGCCAGTCAATTCGTAGCGGATGATCCCGTACCGGAGGGCTGCGGGCCCTCTCCTTTACCAATTTAACTCCTACATACATGACACCTCCTGACTACATCTGCTATTTTTGCCATTTTGGTTTTTAATCTCCCCAGTTTTGCCTCGTTCCTGTGAAGACTTCTTACAGTTTTAAATTTTCCTTCTGAAACATAATATTTATGTTTTGAGATTGGCGTTAACTGATTTTGCTCTACAAAACGTTTCTTAGATGAAGGCACTGTACTGAAGGGAACGCCTTACTGTAAATATTTCATGATTCTCACCTGCAATTAAGGCTAGGAAAGTTACTCATTAGAGAAGCTCCTTGATACTGCTGCCAGGAGGTGATATCACGAAGATAATAGCTGCAGGTAAGGATTACAAACTCCACCAAAGAACCCGCAAAATTTTTGCACATCAAGTTTCTTCAGAGAAAACAGGCCAGTGGAATAAGGTTTCAATGAAGTTAAAAATAATTCTCTGGCAGTTTCAAAGGCCTATACGTGCTCTACAGTTTTCAGTGTAATAGTAAATGATTTTTATCTCAAACAACTGAAATATAGTTCAAATGAAGGAGCGCGAACTTTTCCCCCCTCTTTGCTGTTTTATGCAAATGAACAGCCTGACAGATTAAAGATGCTTTTGCATCTTGGAAAGTCGTAAACAAAAACTCGTTCCGTATCAGTGCAATGTAAATATATTTTCATTTCTCCTATGTTTTTGTTCTCTTCTTGTATAATGAGGATGGAATTTATAAATGTTCGACGAAAAAACTGCTTTCATTTTCTGCTGCCTAAAGTGCATAAAAATGGGATTACCTGATTGCCATTTTTCCTGTGTTGGCACCAGAAGTGTGACAGCAGAATACTAGTGCTGTTTCTCATCTATGTGCATATGACCTGTTCCTATTCTGTATTTTTTTTCTAGCTCACTTCACATCCCTTCCATTTTTTTTATTCACTTGCCAATTTTAAAAAATTGACCGTCCTAAAATATCCTTCCTAGACACGGCCTGACACTCTCCCGATTACTTTTCAAAACTTTTACAGGAAATACTTAAATAAAAAGGTAACATTTGAATAGCTAAAAATAAAACCATTATTCTTACCATTTGAAGTAAATATAAACCGCTTATCTGACAGCGAACCACTGTAAGAAAAGAGAAAGGTAATTGAGCCTTTCAGGAGGTGAGGTGCAGTTTCACAATCACTATTTATCCAGCAAAACGCCCCCGGCCAGACAGGCACTTACTGGGCCGGCCGGTTACCGACCCCCGGGAAAGCTCTCTTGTGCATCTTTCACCGCGACTGAATTCAGACCAGGTTTTTTTAATGGTTTTGAGCATTTTTTTATGCTTTAAAGCAACTCCCCGTCCCATCAGCCTGTTACTCTTGCTGCATCCCTCTGCTTGTCTCCTCTGCAGAGCCCGGTGCCCTGCGCGAGAGCTTCCCCGCCTGCCCCGCATCCCGGCCGCAGAGGAGCATCCCAAAGGGCCCGGAGCTACTGGCGGTACCCGGCCCTGACCCAGGTCCCTTCTCACCTACAGTAGCTTCAGTTAGAGCAACTTCACTGAAACCAACGACTGTCCATTAGTCTAAGTCCACACCCAGTTTGAAGAAAATCCAGCCTTAAGCACCGCGAAAGAGTTATGCTTGATGTGTACTAAACCACGCCGGCTCTGGCCGTTCCTGCGTGGGCTACGGGTGTATCACAGGCAGAATGAATGAAAACTACTCCTCGTTTTAATCTGGGTGGGAACCAGATTGTGGTGTAACCACAACCAACAGCTCCCATCAGGAATGGTTCTTTTTGCTCCATTAACAGGACCACATCTACGGCTCCCCTTTCCTTCCTCCTTCTGGCATGGTCTGCTTTGCTTCAGGAGAAAAGCCATTTCTTGGGCCACTCCGTACAACCCTGCACAGTGCAGGACAAGATAAGTTCACCACTGTAAGGGGAAAGCTGAGCTTTCCTTCGCCTCCCATGGAGCCACTTGCTGATTCCCAACAAGATCCCCCCGAGGTTTCATTCCAGAAGTGATGATTCTGACTGGCTGCCTAGTAAAAATAAAAGCCTCGGGTTTTAATGTGAAATTAGTTTGGATTCCTTGAAAAAAATCTGACCCCTTCAACGTCGTTTCGATTAGCTGCACGCATCACTTGCCCCTTTTGAACAGCCTTGGCCAACGTGACCGAGCAGCAAAACACCTCCTGCACGCAAGCATCAAGCCCGCTCCCTTTCAGGCTGCCCTTTGTTGTTGGCCAAGGAACATCTGCCCCGGGGTACGGTCCGTGGGCCGACAGCGGGGTGCACGGCTAGATATTTTCAGACCCCTGCAAACAGGGAATAGGAAAGTGGTCCCATGTCAAGGTCAATAAAAACACTGCCTCTTTCTGTCATTGAAGGAAAACTAATGACTGCAGGCAAACGAAGCCCTTCAGAGATGATGGAGAGCACTGGGAGGGAGCTGATTTATTTGGGCATGTAGGCGGTGGAGTAGCTCGAAGGAGAAACTCAAGCCCTCCCTCCCACATCTTCCCCCCCAGGCAATCCTCAGGGGCGATCAGACGTGCTCTGCTCGCTTCAAACCAGTTTGACATGACAGTCAAAACAATTTTGGCTTTCTTAGTGAATGCAAAGCAATCCATTTTGAGAGAAAATAAGAAAATAAACACCTATGGCGATCAGTAGAAACCTACTCAAACCAGAAATCGCAGCACTCCTTGAATACTTATTTATGAGATAAAGCTTTGTAATAAAAAAGTCACCCAGATCCCTTTCAAATAGAGGGCTGCAATTTCAGCGAAGAAAGGGAGGAGGTTAGCACTGCTGTCTGTAAAGCTAGGAAATCGAGCTGAAATATTTCTGCTGTAATTCTGCAAGTCACTGAAGAGGACAAACTAATTCAGTAAGTGGCGATTCATCAGTTTCCTAATGTGACAGGTGGCATTTGTCACACAAATTTCACTTTGTCCTTTAAGGGGTGGTATCACCCCATGCTCCTCATTTTCCTGCCAACCTTCAGGGTCCTGCCTCACCAGCACCACCGGTAGCTCTGCAAGAGAAGAAAAGGATGCCGCTTCCCATAATAAATTTCTGGTAGCCTCTCAAATACTTTTTTTTTTTTTTTTTCCCAGAGTCAGTCTCAAGCAAGCTTTTTATAAGCAGTGCTGGTTAACCCAAATCTCGTCTTTCACAATTCACGAGCACGCAGTCTCTTGCCTTTTCAAAGACAAATGATTTCACGCGCGCAGGCGTACAGTCACAGGCCAGGTCACGGTGCAAAGTTAAACCCCCATATATCAGAACTGCCCAATAAATCCAGCCACTAGATCTTCATTATAGCATTTGTGGGTGGAGGTCCACACATGGAGCATGAGAACTGGGAACCTCGCAGATGCTGGAGCATCACATGCACACGGGAAAACGGCATCAGGGATGCCAAGGTCAGCTCTTGCGGGCCATGACCCCCACCCTCACCTCACAACGCGGTTATTTAACAGCTCGGTGCACTCCAGCAGCAACTTTTGATGAGGTCCATTTCGGCTCAAGTCACTAAATAATTTAAATCTTTAATACTAAAATCCACTATAAATGAGATATTTTAAAAACTTGAATAAGGTTTTATTTAAGGGCATCTAAAAAGCTCTTGAAGCACTGCTGTCCAAGCAGCAATTTTTTCTTGCCGGCACTGGCTGCTCTGCAGGAATTTCTTGCAGCGTGTAGGTACCCCGAGGCCAGGGAAGCCATGCACTTTTGGAAATACCTCTTCTAGAAGTCTTTTTAAACCATGAAATGTATTGATTCACTTCCTTAGTAAATAGGGCCACTGTTTCTATTTTTCATGTTTCGAAATAAAAGGATTTCCCTGCATCCTCCAGTTGCCCTCTCCTGGGATAACGGGCTCACACCAGCCGTTCGTCTGCTCCCGGGGTTGTCCCAGCTGCCAGGAGCAGCAGGAGCATCCCAGGAAATGCCGTGCTCACGCTCCCATTTTTCTCAAAATCCGTGCCATCCACTTCGCAGGCATCTGACCCAGCCTGAGCCCATTTACCTACGGCTCGCTCTATACTCTGTAGAAAATGACGGTTGTCTCCGCGGGGCAATTCAGTCGCTTCGAGATGCGCACCATGCTCGAGGCGTGCCTTGGTCTGCCCCGGTACGCAGGAGAGCGAAGGGGGCTGTGCTCCTCCTTCGGGTGGGCTCTCGGGGCCCCCCACGGAGCGGGCTGACCCCGAGGGGCACCCTGGGAGCCCACGTTCACGTAAAGGGGGGTTCTCCCACTTGATGCAATAGAGACAAGTTTGCGTCTCTGGGGGTACTTCTCTTACTCACGTGAAACGTATAGGGTATTTTGTGAATAGCAACGTTGAAAGGACGCTTGGCAGTTAGGGCGATGGGTTAATTATGCAAACAGTGTTTTCCCCCCGCACGTGTACATTTGCTGTCTGACACGCTTCCCTCATAGCCCACTACCTCGTGTACTGTGAAAAAAAAGACAAACGGGAATCCCAGCTGCCTTTCATTATAACATTTTATGTGCTACCGCCTGAGTGACTCCTGCTGGGATTCCCAAGGATCACGAACATACGAATGTATGTAAATGGTGCTGTAACATCTTTAGATAAGGCACAAAACATTTAATTTAGGGTTTTACTAATCTGGCGTGTGTGATGGAAAGAATTTGTAGTATTTGTTTTATGGAGCAGCTTGGTGCCTGAGCTGAGCTCTCAGTCCTGCTTTGCTTGAGACAAGTTTATATTAATTTTCTTTGGCAATTAACTTTCAAGAAAAACAGAAAATAGTTAGGCTTTACAGGCCTTTGCTAATGGCCTACACGCTACCTGGCTTTGTATACCCCAGTGCCATTACACGTAAAGCATTTCAATCCATGCTGAAATGTAAGCACAGCAACAGAGCAAATGAAAGCTTTTTTTTTTTTTCCATTAATGAAGGAAACCATGACTGTAAAATTGGCAGGAGGGTGTTGAGAAATCATGAGGAAAAGAGGAAAAAAGTATAAAAAAGACATATTTCCTTAGCTCTTGTAAGCTATGGGACTGGGGAGATTTTCCTTTCTACAAAAAAAAAAGCCTCATGTAAAATCCAGATAACATTTGAAAATTAAAAAATACAAACCAATAGGAATGACAGAGGCAGTTGCTGGAAGGGCTTACTGTGCTGGATAGAGATTAGAGGATTTATTTCTACCTCAACAACAGTACAGCTAAAAGTCATAAGATAAGTGGTAAATATAACACCCTTGCTATAAATATTCTAAAAGAGAAAAACTCTGAACATGTCAAAAGCACAATGTTTAAGAAGTTGTTCATTAAATCCCCAACGGCTCAACGGCACTTTTTATTTATTCATTATGCCTAGCTTTTTTTAAACTTTAACATGAATTTAGCATGATTTATTAGCACATCGATTAAAGGTGTTTGTTGCAGAGCATCGTACTTTCATGTATCTGCTAACAAAGTAATTTGCAAATACATTTTGGAAGCAATAGAAGGAAAAAAAAAAGAAAATACCACTTACATGGCATAAAGCCACTGAAAACTTGGACCATTTTCCTATATCCAATGCCAACACCATTTTAATAAAGCGGTAGAAACAAAGCCCAAAAGCCCCTAAATCCACACCTAACATCTTTTCTTCCCCAAAAAAAGCATCCCCACCTGCTTCTGCTGAGCTGGGCATTGCGCTGTGCCCTGGGGGTTGCTCCTGGAGCCGGCCACGCTGGCAGTACTGGTACTTACCCCAGCAGTACCGGTACTCACCCCAGCAGTACCAGTACTCACCCCCGTGGTACTAGTACTCACGCCAGCAGTGCTGATACCCACCCCAGTGGTACCGGTACTCACACCCGCGGTACCAGTACTCACGTCGGCAGTACTGGTACTCACCCCTGTGGTATCAGTGCTCACCCCAGCAGTACCGGTACTCACGCCAGCAGTACTGGTACTCACTCTTGTGAGGGGATGCCGTTGGCGACACCGCCTTCGTATCGGCTGATGCCCTTCTGCTGGGTGACGCTGATCTGACCGCCCAGCTCGTCCGCGATGACTCCTGCGTGTATCGCCGACTTGCACAGCAGCGAGGACTGAAAGGCAGAAGCCGGCAGAAGGCAAAGCTCAGAGGATCAGTCTGACAAACTGCTAGCGCTTTCACTTCCAAGTCACCAGTATACAGGTGTTAGCGCTCATAAAATCCAGCAAAGGCTCAAGAGGAATAAGAGGCAGAAAGAACAGTAATCTCCGGAAAAAAAAGTATGTTTCCAAAAGTCACCTTTTTTTTTTTGCAAGTGAAAAATCAAATAATCTGCTGCTGAGAAGGTGCTGTAAGATTTTAACCGAATAAGTACTGTGTCACTCCTCTGGAAAACAAAGTCAAAGGCAAGGCAACTCTTCTTTGCACAGAGAAAATGATAATTACTTGACGGTCTTGCCTGAAGGCAGACCTACCTATTAGTGAGCCTTAGGATTTGAGTCACCGCATAGCTGGGTTTGAAGTACAGCCCGTTTGCCAGCATCTCAGGTGGGCTAAACAGCCCATTTGCCAGCATCTCAGGTGGGCTAACGCTGGGAAGTCCAGCAGGACAAGTGGTGTGCCAAGTAGGTGGCCATAAGGTACCGGTGGGCCAGGGCAGAGCAGAGAAGGGCCGGTGGAAAGGTGGAGGGGGGACATTCCGGGGGGCTGCTGGCCGAGATCGCTCTGGTTCCCAGGGCCCAGCTCGGGCTAGGCTCCTGGGCTAACTGGGCTAACTGGGGTGCCGGGCTGTCCCCATGGGAGGGCTGGCGGGGGACACAGAGCCCCGCACGTCCTTCCCATCAGAAAAGCTGAATCCCTCTTAACAGTGGAGAGAAAAATTTCTTTCAAAAATTCCCCAGCACAGATAAGATCTGCATGAGGTCATGCCATGTGCTGCTTTTCTTTCCTAATCACCCAAAGGAAAGTCAGGAATAACTCCGGCTAATGAGAATGTAACGTGACATTGCTTTGTTTCTGCAGCTCTGCCGCTTTCCAGGCTCAAGCGGCGTGCTCGAGTAACTGGATGAACAGGTTAAACGTGAACGCTGACTTTTTGCAAACTCAGCAACTGCTATATTTGCGGTAGGGTGGGATTTTACTTCATCGGTATGATTGAACTTACTCCACCATGAGAGACGTCGCGGTCTCAGAGGCACGGCCGGAGGAGAGCCCGGGGTGAGGGGCACAGGAGGGCAGAGCGCTGCGATGGGAACTGCCGATGAACGCAACCGCTCAGGCAACTTCTGTGCTTTAAAGAACGAGCGGTTAAAACAACCCAAGAGGTTGGTAGTTACTGGGTTGTGATTAGGCAGTGTATAATATTTATTTCATCTCGGAGCAGATTGCTGGGATGCTGCAGGCATAATCTTAAAGAAAACCCGCATGTTACTGAAATGTATTTTTTTTGTACAAGAAATGACTAGAAAAGAAACGCACGTGGACTCCAAACAAGTAAAAGCTTAAGTCGTAGGAACATTTAGGACATCGATGAGCACTGCCTCAAGAGGGACAAACCCTACACAGGGCTTTTCCAGAAAGCCAGAAACCACAAGTCCGTAGGTGTATTTGACAACCAGCGGACTTTGTTCTCGCACAATTGATTGGTCTGTTTGAAAAGTGTCTCCGTGTGCTTAAGTACTGATAACATACTCATAGACTGATAATCAAAGGTATATCCAACACAGCTGGGAAGAATTACTGACAAAAGTCAAGCAGCAAAAGGTGAAACCAAGTTACGCTACGCTTCTCTCTCCTGTCTTTATAAATTTCCCCTCATTATCCTGTGTACTTACATCCCTGTATCCTTCTCCGATATCCCCAGAAATGTCACCTGCTATGTCTCTGCAGCCGGCAGGACAGTACCTGCTGTAGTGAGAGAAGAGAGGCTTGTTTAAAGTACGAACGGTAGTGACCATACACAGAAACAAACTCGTCCAAAAGAAAGGCTCTCAAACCAATAACTATTTTAGCAGTGAGCTCTGGCCGCGGCCCTGTCGGTGGCTCTGGGAGGTAAAGGAGTGGGTCCTCGGGCTCCTGAGCGCACCGCACACAGCAGCACACAAAGAACCAGAAAAGCAGTTTTGCAAGGGCATTTCTGTTCAATTCTCTTGTTCTAGAAATGCTACCACATGGGTTTTCAGCACAGCGCAGATAAGAAGCCTGCGCGCACACCCAGACAGCCGCGAGAAGAGCACGATTTATTACCATTTCAAATCTTATCACAAAGTTCAAGGAACCAAGAAATTATAGCTTGTCCTCAGATAATCTGGTATCAGCTAGGATATGATCTGCTCTCAGGAGAAGCACGGGAATCGGAGGCTACTTTGAATTTCAAAGTGGAAACCCTTTGTACATACACCATGTATATGTATGCCCTAATGAGAATTGCTGGGAGCTCTCTAACTCCATTCCCTCATTTTTCTGGGCTGCAGACTTCCATTCTCCACTACTGCCTCTCACAACCAGACCTTGGACTATTACAGCATCAGAGCTCAAAAAAATTCACTTCTCCAGAAAGCCAAGCCTGTACCTGCCTTATATGACATTTTCTGACAGTTGGACCAGATGGCAGATACAGCAAAGCAAGGCAGAGCGCGGAGAGCTGCAAGCCCTCCTTACCTGTATTCCGCCTTGGTGTAGTGGTTTGCTCGTTCCAAACATGTGATGAGATCTGTGAAAAGTTTACAAACGTCAATCTCCGTGCAGGATGTAGAAATACAGGCAAATATTTGGCTAAACGTGAAAATACATTTAAAGACATCTTTGTATAATACGTGAACAATTTTATTAGATAGAAGTAACAGCTATGGTTGTCCCTCATTCTTTTCATCTCCCTTTTCTACTCTTCCTATGTTTTACACCTTCAACAAAGTTGCACAGACGCCCAGAATATTAAATGTAGGAATCAAATCTTAATCTCTCCTATCCCTTCATCCTCTCACTGTGTGGTAGATGCTGAATACAGCGGAGCCTTCAAGGGCAAGGTACTGATTTTCTCTTTCACTGGGCCCATATTGCAAATGGTCTACGTAAGATTTCAGCAGCTATTATATCTGGTTAATGTTACAACTGCTTCTTGCACGCATGCTATTAAAAATGTCACGGTTCATGCTAATCTGTAAATATTTAAGACCAAACATTTGGGCTAAAGTCTATGTGTATAGAGAAGATAATTAAATATGGGGGACTATGCCCGCGATCCCTTACCACTTTTGTATTTCACTTTACCTGGGTGATCACTGCTGGCATAGGACAACAGAAAGCCTCGGCCTGACACGTGGGATCCACTCTCAAAGTGAATAGTCGCTTCATTGCTATCCAGAATGATTTCTTTGGGGACGGGCATCACGTTACCGCAGTACGGCCCTACAGCCAGAACAGAGAAGATTTCAAAAGCTTAGATGACATAATCAGCCTGGAATATTCTCATGATTAGCAAAGAGTTTTGTAACACGCTCATTCTCCTTCAGTACCAATCCAAATGTTGACGAAAGGGCTTTGGCTTCAGTCCTTTATGGGTAAGAGCTCCAAAGTTACCCTGACAAGGAGTGGCCAGGATCCAATTGTCTCTCCGTGGTAGCAATCCCAACCTCCACATCTCTCATCACATAAGCCTTAAGAGAATGATTAATGCCCTTCGGCCTTTGAAGTACAGCATGCTTACAACCAGCAGTAACTCATTAGAGAAAAGAACAGAACATTCAAAGGCAATCCAAGGGATCGACCCAGGGTCCCCTGGATAAACTCTCCAGACACGTTCGGCTCCCGCTGCTGTAGCACAGCAGCCATTCGGGAAAGATGAAGAGCACAAACAGGGTACCAGGTTTTCAAGGACTTGTGTGCCACAAGCCAAATTGTACTACACGGCAGTACCGCTTTACTTGGAAAAATTATTTGCTTATTTTCCTGTTAAAAACATCATCAGACCACTGAAGTATACAGTTCAAGCCTCTCTGAGTTTTAAACGAAGAAGAGAGGGAGAGAAAGGGGAAGATGAAGGGAGTGGGACAGGGAGACAAGAGCCTTGCACTTACATTGAATTAGATAAGGGTTTATAGCTACCAACTGCAGTATACGGGAACAGTCTTTGGGACACTCCTCTCTTGGGACAGCCGGCATGTCCGGGACTCTTAATAATTACATTTGCTTCTTCAGCAGTTGGGTCCCGAGGGGAGCTTTCTTTAGAGATGATTGCCACCGTCTTTGCTCTTGCCTTGTGCCACCACACCTGGGTGCAAACGCTTGTCCCTGGCTGCCCTCAGGCACAGATGACACAGAAAATCCAAAGCAGTTTGGGTACGCTTTTTTGAATCTGTGAGGATGCTTACAATATAAACTGCTAAGAAGAGATTTTTGTAAAGTGGCAGGTTTTTTTTCCCCGAGAGAAAAACCAAACAAGACCCTTTACGAGCCCTCAGCCCATCTGTTCTGTTGAGATGTAGGACAGTTTTTGTGTCCCAAATCAAGGCCTTGGGTTGAAAAATGATCACTTTTTGATTTTTCGGAGACAACCTCATTTTATTGGTGGTGACTACTTTAGGGCAACTCGGAACTGACTTCTGAGATAGAAGAAATTACAGTCACAGCATGACACAAATTTGATGAGCGTTACTCTTCCTAATGGGCTCCTAAGAGCTTCTTCATTTTGCTTGATACTTTTGGAGGGTCTTTCCCAAATACTTCTTTGGCCTTATAACAACTATAAGATCAGCCTACAGAATAGCCCAGTCGGAGCCGCCGACAACCATTCATCAGCAGAACGGGACAAACCAAAGGAGGAACTCTGTCTTTTGGCTTATAAAAATTGTACGGCAAAGCCAGGTAAGCAGAGCAAGAAGCGGCGAGTGTGACATTTCCCTGGAGTACTCATGTGTTGAAAATGACTCACGGCTTAGTCAGAGAAAACAATGTCTATAAAAAGGGTTAAACAAATTGCTTCAGAAAGGAACTTATCAAAAAGACAGCATCTGACACTGTGTCATACCAGACAACTGCACGAGTGATTTATTTGAGAAGGTCTTTTGTGTCAGATTGCAGTGGGAGAGGTAAAGTGCTAACTGAGATTTTTTTTTTTTTGAGAGAGAGAGAATGGGGAAGAAGACAGGGAGGCATTGCATTTCTTCCAAATAAAACACCTGAGAAAGCTTTAGTCCTTCTCTTCTCTCAAGGACTGTCTCTACATATTTTCTCACGAGCGCTCTTTGCCTTTCTCCCTCGCAGCGCTTGGCAGTGACCTACCGTCTCCTCCGTAGGTGTAATTTAGACGCCTGATTCACTCAACCGCACACCGGCTGGATCAGGGCTACCTGTCTCCTCCAGCAGCAAGTCTACATACGTTCCGGATAATTATACAAACAAATCGCACATGTCATCAGCAAAAACAATAAAATAAAATAAAATAAAACAGAATAAAATAGTCTAGACTCATGGAGTTGTATAATCCAAACGAAAGCCAAAAATTCAGAAATAATCAGTTTAAGAAATCAGCATGCAATGCCTAAAGACAAGTTTCTGCTGTTAAGTAATAAATCCAAGAAGGGTTATCAGGCTATGGTTATCTTCTGCCAAGAGCAGTCCTGGTGTACCGAGAGACCCCCATGGGTAGCTCAAAACTAAGGGGGCCTGGGATTAATATCTTAAAGGATATAGAACCAAGAAAGAGTACACACGGAAGGAAGGAATATTTTCCGGAAGTTTATCAGTTTTCTGCATAATTTGGAAGGAGACACTTATTAATATCACAACCCAGTCACTTGTTCTTTTGTTGCAAGCTGAGGAAGCCTTGCAAAATATTTCAGCACATTTCTTCTCAATAATTCAGGTAATACCATATCAGCACTACACTGCCAGGTCTTCAGACTTGCCTGAGATCTAGCAGAATTTATTTCCATGCTATCAAATACAGAAATGAGCACCGAGAGGTAGGGTTTAGAAAAAGGTATAGGCATTATCTCACCCCTCTATTGCTGTTCTTAGAGAAACGGATCAGATACCGAATTGGTTTAGAGGTTCTTTACTCCCTGAACTAGAGGGATGTGCAGTCTGTTTTTAGGAAAAGATGTTATTCCACTCTTTTCAGCACTTATTGTGTTTAAAATGACCAGTGTAAGCACCTTCCTGATTTGATTTACCCGATAATATTGTTTTAGGTTTAGCAGCACCTCTCTCCATTTTGCCAAGTTTTTGCAGAGTGGCCTTTTTAACCTCAAATTCTCATTTTCCCCCTAATCAATTTATTTTACATTGATGGTCTTCCAAGAAATTCTCCAGGGGAACAGCTAGTAATGCTTAGAAAATATAACTGATTCAGGGTCAAGTAAATTCTTTGGGTTCTGCTTTGACCGATGAGAGAACTTTATGCTTTCATCTGTTTTCTAATTTTCTTTAGAACAATAACGTCTTTGTTTTTAACCGCGTGTACTCTTCCCTACGCACTTCCATACAGCCATCCTCCATGGCCGTGCACGCCGTAAGGCGGAGAAAGGACAGGCCTCCGCGCTCCCTGCGTGGCCGCTCCTCCTGTGCCTGGACGAGATGCACTTTCTGCGCACACAGTAACGCCCGGTAGATCTGCTCTCCGTTGACTTACCTTGAATACATATATCGTGAGATTTTATAGACATTGGAAGATTAAAACCAATCAGCATCTGTAGCCATTAGACTTCATCTGAAAACTATATTTACTAGTCAGCATTTTCCACTTGCAATTGAAGTGACAAAAATACAACTTTATCGTCTACTTTTAAAACTCATACCTGCTCCCCATCTTCTCTGTCCATTCCGCCTAGGATTTATTGATTTCTCTAGGCTGTCAATATGAATACTCTACAACCATAGTGGAGAGGAGGGATGATGGAGAAAGCCTTGGTTTGTGTCTAGTATGAAAATGAGAAACTTTTTTATAGGGTCCTGTTAACTTTTACGGCAGCATTTGGACTTGACTCTGGATAAACATTTAATTCCTAAACCTGGGACTAAGCCAAAAGTTTTTTAAGATCTCTTTTGAGAACTGCCAGATCACGTTATCAGTTTTTCATCTTCTAAAGTTAGTTGGGAGGTGGGTTGTTTGGCATGTTCAGCTTGAAAAACGAGTCATGAATGCTGATCTCCCTCCCTGTTTGCTGTTAAAGTGCCTCAGCTGGAGCTCTGCTGGGGTAAGTAGGCAAGATTATTTGGTTTGTTTACTAAGAACAAAGAAAAGAGTTTGATTTAATAAACAGATGCGTTACTGAGTAGGTGTTCTCCATATTTCAGTATTACTACATCTAGATGCCAGGGCCTTTTCTTCTTTCCATGTCTCATTAACGAGTTGACCCAACTGTGGTTCCGTCTGTTCGCTCCAGATTCTTTAATTTTTTTATTTTTTTTTAAGTTCTGCAGGAGAGCTATTAGGAGCCTAGCGATTTCAAATGTACCTAATTTAATATCCTCTATAATTAAAATAACATTTAATGCCTTTCGTCCAGAACTTCTGATCTGTTGGTATGGTTTAGGTGGCTTAAAAGCAATACTTTTATTTTGGAATCACTGCCTCCAAGCGGTGTTAACATCCTGCAAGATCCACAGTAAATTGTCTCGTGAATATCCTTTGGCTGGCTCCTGTGGAGACTGAGGAGACGATTTTACGCGTTGTTTATTTTTTAAATGTTAGCAATAGTCTACTGCTTTTGTCTTTTTCATAACAGTGTTGTTTTGCAAATCTGATGATCTTTACAGCATTGTCTGGTTTTATGAGGTCTAGTTTACTTCTACTGTCAACCAGGCTCTGGCGTATTTCCCGAGATTGCTTTGTTGAATTAATGTTCCTTTATTTTTTCTACTTCCCCTAAGAAGCGCCGTGCCTAGAGGACTCTTCTCTCACACCAGCTGGCAATGCCTACATGCTTGTTTCTGCAGTTCTTAATACTTTCTGCCTCTTCTGAAATGCTTTTGCTTCCTTTTAAAAGCAATTATTTCCCTCTTTAGCTATTGCATGTCTGGTTCACTATGCTCGTTCTGCTTTCAAATTTCTCGACTTCATTTGAAATCTGCACTTCGGCATTAGCAGAGGTCTTACAGAAACTCGGTTCAGATATCAACCCATGACATCCTCTGTTCACCAGGGAATCTTTGCCCTTTTCTCTGTCTTTACTTGCAGACTAAGCCATGGCTGGTGAGCAATGTGTAGCAACTATCCCATGGATCTGCCTCACCAGGATTATTATTTCCTAACTCACTCATTTGTTTGAGGAAAACAATGTTGTAAATCGTGATCCTTATGTTCAGCAGCCTTTCCTCAAATAAAGCAATTCCGAAGTATCTCAGTAGCTGGGGAAGGACGGGAGATGTGATGAACATGGATTATACTTGCTCCACTTCAGAGCTAA